GTCGACTCAGTTAATGCCGACAGTACTCCAACTTTCAAGCTTTATAACTCAAGATTTATTTCATAAAAAAATATTTCATTTATGTGTTTTGGAAAGTTCTCGAGGCGTGCTATAAGAACATGTAATGAAAAATTGAGGGTTCCATTTAAAGAATTCAAAGTGACCTTGTCCTGACCTTGATGACGCCACTCGTGGTCAAACCAATGTTATCATCTTATGTCCCCCTCGAAACCCTACAACTTTTGTCTGAAAAATTTTTCTCTCCCGGGCTTGATTTTCGAGATATTCGACTGGATGGATTAAAATGGTCCATCCTGTAGATACACAAATACATATTATTAAAAATATTTTTTCATTATCATATACATATTATATTTGTTTATGTTTTAATATATTGAAAGCTTTTAAATATAAGTTATCTTTTCTCAAGTTTTTATTTCAACTGTACATATGTAATAACACAATACACAAAAAATATTTTTAATAATATATATTTTTGTACATTATACAGTAGAAATAAAAACTTGAGAAAAGTTAACTTATTTTTATATTAAAATATATTAAAATTTTTAATATATTAAATCGTAAACAAATAAAATAGGAATAAAACTCATAAGTAAAAATATAGTTAAAATTTCTAAACTTTGAGTACTTTAGAGATAATTTTGTTATAGAAGGACAAATGGAATAATCAAGCAAATTTTACTACAAAAGTTACTACAGATTCAATGAATAAAACGGTATTTACTCTTCATAAATCAACTGGCTACATATTAAAGTAGATTAAAGCAATACATATTAATACATATTAATACATATTAAAATATATAAAATGTTTTTTAGATTAGTTTTCCTGATATTCCGACGACATCTTATGATGCTGTAAATTCACCTGTCAATAATGATTCTACTTTTGATTTTGTAAATACACATAATATAAGTTCAAAATTAGGTTCCAATAATATCACAAATCACACAGCACATTTGCCTAAAAGTACACGTACGTATTTCGTAGTTATATTTTATATTTATACATAACAAATGTATAAAAAATAAGTACAAGTAGCAGAAGTAACAATGAATAATAGAACAATTATTTACAGAGTATAACAGTCGTGCATATACTAAGGCATATCACGCTAAACCAGACGGAACAGTTAGCAGTTCATATTATGGAGGCCAAAGTATTCAATTTAAACCTCAGCAGATGGTAATACTGATAATTGAAAAGACAGATGTCATACAATAACTGTAATCACAAAAGACTAATTTTTTTTTACAGAAAACATCTACAGATACTTCTCGAGTGCCGAACAATTTTTCACAATATGCATCACATGATACATTGCATAGCACGTTATTTAAAAATAATCAAAAGAAAAAATCAGATAAAGATGCTTGTATATTGTCCTAGATTTTTTATTATATCTTTTATATATCTTATATATTATATAAAATATATATTTTATAAAATTACAGTCAAAAATTTTTATTTTATGTAAAAATTAGATTAATTTTTATTTTATTGATTTAAGATGAGGAAACATTTATAATAAGAGTTTTCCGTAACATTTACAATATAAAAAAGATTCAATGTAGGTACACATGCGCACATAATAATAAATACTGAAAATATTTTGTATTATGTATATATTAATCATATTTATAGAAATATATTTCTATAAATATTATATACAAAATTATATTTTTTATTTTTATTTATATAACTTTTAAATTAGGAATGAGAACTATTGTATTAAAAATTTCATTAAAAATTTGCTGTTTTTGAATGTTTTAAAATTTGGTTTTAAATTATTTTGGTTAACATGAAGATCTGATATATACAAATTATATATTAAGAGGATTATAAAATTGTTTTGCTGGCTGAATGTGATTATTTTTCAGCTTTTTTAATTGCCTTTATAGATTTACAAATCCTTTTCTTGAAAAGGTTGTGTAGTACCTAGTTAAATAAAGTTAGTAACTTGCTTAATTTTAAATTAACCTTTAATTGCTCTCACATTAATTTAATCTTAATTTTTTAATTTTATTTTTCTCCCCTTTTCCTTTTTTCTTCCTTTTTATTATTCCCCTTCCTCTTTTTCTTTTCCGTTCACTGCTTATAGATGTCCTATCAGTAACATTGACATTACATATCATTTCAAGTTCATATCTAAAGACTCATAGACACAAAACGGTTGACTTGAGAAAATTCTATTCTAGATTCAGGTATATTTAATTTTAATTTTAACTTTATTAAATAAACATGTTAGCTTTTTAGTTATACATTCGATTTTAGTCATTTTTTAAATTTGAATCTAGCTTCTATAATGTTAAGAATTACGAACTCTAACAATGACATTTTTCGCCTTTGTCTCCGGTGTAAATTTGGAAGGACCGTATGTTTAGTCTACTTATGTGTTTTGCAGGAGATTTGCGTCTGTATATTATGTTTTAGATGATATTTAACGAATTTTAACAACTTTATATTTTACTGTTTTAATTGTATTAATTTTATCGATTCAACATTGAGAATGACCTAATACAGGTCAAAACGTTTGTTTTACTTTTAATCACTGTAATATTATTTTATTCGAGCATTACCCAACTCAGGCTCGTAGCCCTTATTTGATTTATTAGTTACTTTGTTGAGCCTTTTTTTTTATTTGCAGCATCAAATGAACCGTAGCCATAATCGAGAAGAGTCATAATATACCGGCACTACTGGAAAGTGGAAAGTACCAGACCGATAAACTTCTATTTTAGGCCTGGAGCACATGAAATGCATAATGCGGCATAAGCGTAGCATAAGACGGCTAGACCAATGGCTGCGTTCAGCAGAGAAAACAGCTTTGCAACTGTAGTGAGATTCTTCAACATGATTGGCTCTTGCCTTTAGTTCTTCACGGATCTAAATGTATAAATCATATTAAATCCATACCAATCATATTAAAGAATTTTACAACAGTTGCAAAGCCGCTTTTTCTGCTGAACGCAGCCAATGAAAATCTTATCTAAATCAATATAGCGTCTTTATGCTGGCTACTCATTGGTCCAGTCGCCTTAGGATTCCTGCATATTGGTCGCGGAAATCTTTCCCGCGCGGCAAAATGCGACGCGATAGCCAATAAACTTACAGCTCCTAAAG